CCTCTCAATGAATGTAAGGTGCCCTAACCAAGCCAAGACCACCAACCACCCTAAATCATACAAAAAACAATTGATCCAAGGTGTTTGTGCTGAGAAGCTGTGTTTGGTTTCATCACCTTAGCATTAGTGCATCAGGGTTCCCCTTAGGTGGTGGGTTCAGTAGACATGGCCTAGCATCACTCCTTCAATCACCAGGCACTTACCAACAAACCCCAACCGTAGGCCTGGCTCCAGGGGGAAGTCCCAGATCCACCATGCTACGTGATGTCACATGTCTTGATTTTATGGTCATTCTAAGGGCTCCTAAAATTGCTCTTTGTCTAACCAGTCACCCAGAACCTGTCTGCCTCGAGAGACTCTATCTCTCGAGGCAGAAGTGGCTCTACACCCCCAACAATATATCCTCCAGGATCACTGAAATCCATCCACCAGTGTAAAGTGGTGGTTCAAGGAGAATCTGGCTTTAGATTCTTCCTGGACGCCTCCCTCTGAGGTGTTCCAGGCAAATCTCACTACGAGGAGGCCCAAGGGACGACTCAGGGGACGATGGAGGGACTATGACTCTCAGCTGGCCTGGGAGCACCTCAATCTTCTCTCAGCAGACTTGAAAGAGGTATCTGAGGAGAATGAAGGCTGCTAGTCTTTGGTGAGATTGTTGCCCCCTGGACCTGATCTCAGATAAAGTGGAAGACAACAAGTATGTTTGCCAATACCATTATGGTTAAACATCTCTGTTTTGGTCTCACAGTTTTTGACAGAAGAAACATTCTCCTATAGTTCTTCCAGGCTGTTTCAGGTTCATGACATTTAAAGGAAAAGTCTGGTCATTTTCAAAATTCAAACTTCTGAAAGTACTTAAAATATGAAACTGTTATTAATTTTTTAATAAATAAGTGTTTTTAATTAAAAGTAGTTTAAGTTGAATGTGCTTTACCAGAGATATCCATGTTTGTCAAAGAGCACTACTGCCACCTACCGGTTTGTGACGTCACGGTGCGGTATCGGCTGTTGAGCAATTCCCAAAGCTGTATCTAGCATTTGTCACTATGCTCTATTATCCAAGTCATCTTGAAAACATTCTTCTTCGAAATGTTGGCTACGTATCATGTGTTTTTTCTCTGGCCAGAAGTTCGATGGCAAATCCTCCCTCTTCAAGTTGGCAGTCCAACGACGAATCCGTCCATGGCTATCATGAATCGGGAAGGTGAAATAACTAATTGTTTTTCACTTTTAAACAATGTATTACAACATCCAACTGCCATGCAAGTGGGCATTGTCAGTTTAACTATAGCTTTCATGAATTTTAAAGGTGAAGTCCTCTTGAAATCTTCAATAATTGTTGTTGATTGCAGATGTGTCTAATAGCTCCCATTGATTTTGCTTGTAAAGTGTGGAGAATGCCGCTTGGCTTACCGCACAGTGCCGGGAATTGTCAGGAGTGAGGTGTTACTATATATGGGCAAAAATTGTCGATCCTGGACACAGTGATGGCAACAAAAATATTATTTTTATTATTATTTTGAACCCTAAATTAATTAAATCACCACAAATGTATTAGTTTTAAGTATGAATAATGATCCATTTATTATTCCTTGCTGACCAGACTTTTCCTTTAACCCTTGACCTGCTGTCTTAGGCCTGAAGACATGATACTGGCTTTCACTGCTTTCCCACTGAGGCTTCTCTTGCCTTCATCCTGTTGTATTAAAAAGCATGGGCCTACATTTGAGATGAAGATTATAAAATATTTTGGGCTTCTCCATCAACTCCTGCATGTGTTTATGAATAGGTGGTTAGAAAATTATTTTTGCTGCTGGATCGGCAAATAATTTATCCTGCCACTATATGCTGAGGTGAGTGAGTCTTCATCACTGCAGAAACACACCACCACTAGAGCTTTACTATCTAATAATAATCAAGATTAAAGTTGCATTCCTGTAGCCGCAGATCACACATCCAGGAACTCATCAGAGCTGCAGCACTTATGCAGTAAAGTTTTTCATACGTCCCAAGAATCTGTGATGGCCCCGTTTCCTGCTTATCAAATGCTCCACTCCTTTACCTCTCACTGAAATAGTGTGACAGGTTTTTACTCAGGATTTAAAATGTTGCATGTAGACATTAAATATCATCCACTCTGGCTTTTTTAACCCTCATTTGAGTTTCACATCTTATTCAATCATTTTAATTCATTTTTTTTTCCCTGAACAGCACTTTGGTGGTTAGTACTACTGCCCCAGAGCAAGACCCACTGGGTTCAGGTCTTGGCCAAGGACCTTCTGTGCAGAGTTTGCTTATCATTCCTGTTGGGTTAATTAGCCACATTACAGGCTTACCCTTCTGAGTCCTATGGTCTTGGTCCAGTATTGGGTTTACTGTATCAACCCAATACTGGGGTACATACGGTCCTACTCCTTCAGGAACAACAGCAATGTGACAAAATGACTTGTTTTAATTCTCTGTGTCTCTGAAGTATTCCTGGTTCAATTTAAACGTCTCCATGGGGCAGACCACCAGCATCCTCATCTGGACAAACCACTGACTGATAAAGATTCCCAAAGAACAAAGGCCACTCAGTCCAAGAAACCCAATTGGTTTTCATGCTCCAGTAATCATCTATACAAATTCACACAGTGAAGCAGAAATGTGTAAAATGATCTTTGGATGAGCCTGGAACCCATGGCGACCACAGGGACTACTGCTTTGCTCTGTTGGTATGATGGGACCATCAAATCCCCCTGACAAATCAGGACACAATGACACTGAGCACCATCGTGCGAGGAGGCCCACCGGTCACATTTAACGCCTCTGGTGATGGGCTCAGTTTATTCAGGCATTAGTTAGAGAAGCAAATCGATAGGAATTATCAGCTGCCGTGACTTCAGTTGGTCTGATGGTGGGAGGTGGATGGGAAGAGAAAGGTAAAAGGCAAACAGGAGAAAGGTCAAAGCAAATAGAGGCAGGAGAGACAAGGAAGAGGGAGAGGAGGGGGGTTAAGGTGAAAGATGGAGGACACTCTGCTGTTCACCATACCCTTATCTGCTGCTGTGCTATCAGCTGTTTGGTCTAGTGGTGGATAGATTCAACTTGTCAGCTTCTTTTTTATCAGTTCATCACAGGAGGTTCCGAGAAACTACTGACCATGACAGCTGAGACCCTCTGACCAACGAGATCACAGCTGACCTGATCCCAGGTTCTGCTGACTCCCAGCTGGAGGCCTTTCCCACCATGCACACAATTAACGGCTTCATCAGAGCATTTCAGCACTATTTTCCATGATATAATGCTTTTTACCCTTGAGTGTATAGTCTTTGACCTTAGAGACTCATCTTCAAACTATCATCAAAGCAAGAGATTATTCCCAGGAGGAAAATATGTAAGGCAGCAGCAGATCATCCCTCGAGTGGAAGTCCTTCAGCCCAACGTCAGAGCATGAAGATGCAATGACTCAGAGAAATGGCCAAAAACCAAACACTTCGTTCTTGCTGAGACCCTAAAGGCCTCAGCAAGCAATAAACATGTTCTCTCTGAAAACCAGATGGAAGCAGGATTTAGGTTAGAAAAGCTGCATCTGGATGAAAGACAAAACTTCTAGAACACTGTTCTCTGGACATAAGGGGGGGGGGGGATGTTTATCCAGAATGCTCAGCATCCTCTTCAGAGAATACTGGACTTAACATTGAAGAAGAAAGACTTCCTAAACACTGTTAAGGACAAAGATGGAGGGTTTATTTAGACCTTGTTCAGTAATTGAATGAATAGAGGCAGAAAAGCTGAATGATGAAAAATGGTCCCTATGTCTAAGCCTATAGCAGGATATCTATAGAGATATATTAGGATAACCTGAGCCACTCTAACTATAAGTTTTATCAAAAAGGAAAGTATTAAGCCTAGCCTTGAAAGTATACTGAGCCTCTGCCACATGGACTAAAACTGGTAGTTGGTTCCGCAAGAGAGTAGCCTAATGACTTTCCAAAAAAGTTAAAAGTCTCTAGAGACATACACCAGTATCAGGTATCGCAGCGCAACGACTACCAATTCCTAAGGGGTGGACCAATGGCGTAAAGATTAGTAAGCAGAGACAGCAGTAGCTCTTAGGGACCCCATCACCGACACCTGGTAGGCCCTCTGTGCAACTGTAGACTAGGATGTATCTTTGAAGATGTATTGGTGTGAAAAATTCTTCTTAAACCCATCTGATCCTGAAGTAACTGACAGCACCAGACCATATTTATGCCGCAACACATGCCAGATTTCAACATGATGGTGAGCTGTTTCAACACAACACTAATAGCAAAGCAGACAGTGTTACTTTTAATTACTGTTTCTAACTGTGTATAGTTCATTAGGGGGGTTGGTAAAAAATACACTCATATAATATGTTTCAAACCGCAATAAAGCTCTTAAAAGAACTATGTATTTGAGTATTTTATTTTTTATTTTTTACCCTACGACTTGGAATTATAGGTAACCCAGAGCATAGATTAAAAACCATAACCGTTACGTACAATGTATTAGCAACGATGGATACCAAGCATCTCCCTGAAATTAGTTTTTGGAACTTGATATGTCTGTAAAATGTGGTGGTGCGTAGTCACAATTTTTCCAGGTGTGATGTGTGATCATATACTACTGAGAATTGCATAATTGTGTCTTCTTGGCTGATTTATGGAACTGTCGCTGTATCCTGAACCTTTATCACTTCTTGTACTTCATATGGGGCCCACCCAGATAATGTTACTTACAGGCCTATTGTTGTTTCGTTATGCCATTGGGATGGACCTGTCTGTTGCACTGTCTGCGGTCAGTAACAATTTGGGAGAGGTGCAGCAGAGTGTCTGCAGAGGGGCCGGGACGTCTTTTTGTTCACTGCGACACCTACGCAGATGACCTAGTTTCGAAGTATAAATCAGCCTTTAAACACATGGTTTTTGTGTCCTCTGTTTTTGTAGCCATCATCCAGGTCTATGTCACTGAATATAGTCGTATTGTCCTCACAGATCCGGTCTCCATGAACTTGGACCAGTACAATGTGGTTTCTTTGACTGATGCCCTCAGAGGTTTCCTTCAGGACCTGCCCACTCCCATCATCCCTCCTACAGTCTACACTGATCTCATCAATGCCTCACAAGGTAGGAAGCATTCCTCCACATAAAACTGCAGCCCTGTTGGTGGTCAGGAAAGGTCTAGCAAACCAGATTTAAACTTTTCTCACAGCAGAAGTCGCCTTGTTGCCAAAACAGTAAACGTTGCTTTGATTCTCTTTTTGTTAGTGATGCAGTGTGGCCTGAACCACACCAGCTGGTGAAATAATAAATAAAGCAGAGCTACAACCTGCTCGCCTGCTCTATTTTCTGTCCGTTTTCATCTAAGCATTCATGAATGCTTAAATACTGTAAAAAGAACTATACTGCAAAGGATGTTACACATACAAGGCTTCCCTCCTAAAAGTTCAAATTTGATCGTAACTCAAACACTGAGTCATCCGTTTGGTCCAGGTGTTCTTTCTATTAATCTCTCAGATGTTATTTACACCATTCCCTTGAGGTCTGGAGAGATCAGAGGTGAAGATAATGTGTTGAAGGAGGAGTTAGTCCACAGAAAAGAAGCTGGCAGCCATTTTGGCTCGTCGGTAGTTTTAAAAGGTGGCTGAGAATCCAACTTACATCACACATCCCAAAAATGCTGAGTCAGTAGCTGTGTTGAATTTTGCATTTTCTGGTGAGTAGCGGAGAGAGGGAAGCCTGCAGCACCACTCTTTTTTCATCAGACAGGATGTCTGAAACACCTAAAACAGTCAGCGGGGGAAGTTCAGTCTTTAAAGGCACAACCTTCTTCTGGCCACAAGCGTTATTTAGAGGGCTTTTATGTTGAAGATCCATAAAGTTTAAAGATTAGAGTTGAAGTCTGGTCACAAACACTGTAGTTGGAGAGCAGTAGCAGTGATGCAGAGTTTGTATGGGATGGCCCTCTAGCAGTATAAGACACACTGGACGGAGTGTGGATCCTTTAAATCTTAAGGTTTCAGAATATTTCTGTTTCACAATCTAAGACCAACGACATCAAACTTAAACTGTGGTTGGTGGGATAATGTTAAAAATTTGTTTATATATCACACAGCTCAGTAAGAAAAACAATTCAAAGTGCTTAACATGGAAGAAAATAAAAGAAAAGTACATTGCAATGACATCAAGGTTATTAAACAATTAGTGAAATGATTAGAAAGTTTCTCAGCTTTTCCAGTTTTTGTGGAGTGTATTACAGATTAGTGGAGCATAAAAACTAAAAGCTGATTATCCAAGTTTGGTTCAGTTTCTGCAGAGTAGATCTGAACCAGTAGACCTTTAGAGGTCTGGCTGTTGATACACTGCTAACACATCTGTTATGTAATTTGGAGCGAAGTAGGAGAAGCAGGTCAGTAGAACGGTAGTCGAGAATTTAAAATAGATATAGAATTGGTTTGGAAGAAGAATGTGGAAGTGATGAGTGGGAGCACTTTAGATTTCAGCTAAATGATCATGGTCAAGTCCTTATTCTGGACAAGCCGATATGCTGCATTTATTATACAGCAGTAGCATTTAAAAGCTGATATATTACACACCTACAGCTGCACCTAAAACACAATTAACCCTGCAGTTTTATCCACATGGAGAAAAAAAAAACTACAACCAGTGCTGCCAAACAATTTTTTAAGAACCAAACCAAATACAAAAAGGTCACCAAAATTAATTCTGGATTCTTTGATCTGTTTGTGTGGTGGTTTTTTTGTGCTATGAAATCTGGGACAATTTAGCAGCCAGAAAAAATGTATTCCTGTGACAGGCTTATAATTTCTGGACTGGTGGAGGAAACTGAATTACACACAGAGAACCCACAGAAGCACTGGGAGAATCTCTGTTCAGACAGAGCATAGGCAGGGAATGCAACCCAGGTCACTCTTGTTGCAAGGCCTCACTGATATTAACTGCCTTGCTGCACAGCCCCAATACGAGGGTCCACAAGCAGAACACTGGACACGTTTACCAGAGATTACGTCAATCCAACGTGGCAGTTACAAGTTCCAAGAAAATAGAATGCACCATGTGCGTGGACATCTGGGGAATTTCTTCCATTAGGATACTTTCCTAGTTCTGGATACAGACAGACAGATAATGATAAGATCCCTAAATGATGAAATGTTATTAGTATCAGAAATATTCTATAATGTTAAAGAACCTCTATAAAGGCAGCTCAAAGATTTTATTATAATATCTTGGTAATAATAGAGTAAACCAGTATAGAAATTCATATGTTTTTACAAATTTTAGATGAAAAGGACACAATTTTCAAATTACTACTAATAATATATTCGTATTCAAACCCAAATCATTCTCCCTTTATATTTCATAAATAAAGTCAGAAAGAAAATGAGCTTCAATTGATCTTTTTCTTCCTTTAAACTTCTTTGGTTTTACATCCAAAAGACCTTTTAACCATCTTGAATTTGTTTTTAGATATTTACAGCCAAAAGGTAAATCTTATTCATGTTTCACCAAATAAAACTAGTTGTGTTGGTTTTATTTCCATTTTCATATTTCCTTCTTGGCATTTTGAGTCTTGTCATATAAAATGTGGTCTTTATCACAGATTTTTTTGTAGATCCTCTCACCCACCACTCCTGCAGCAGTGTACTCATTTGTCATTCCAGCAGTTTGGACATTTATGCCTGTTTGTTGAGGCAAAAGCCAATTAACGCACTTTATGCACATTTAGACCGCTTTATATTTCACCAAAGTGTCACACCTTTAGTGTCATCCCATGAAAAAAAGTATACTTAAAAAATATAAGTAGTGTACTGACTAACACTACATAGAAAGGCTTAACTGTGAGAAGAAAGATGTTGGCATAAATTCTCCCAGCCTGTCTTCGGTCAGCTGTCAGAGGTTCTGTCCATTATTCCTTCCTACTGAGGGCACTCTGGGTTATTGAAATTGATTGAACACGTCAGATTCTGCACACACAGGCCTGTACATGGGATTAATCCATACCGATCAGCATTACGGCACCTGAAAACACAAGAGAAGGTGTGATTTAAATCATGTTGATCAGCTAAAGCCCATGATGTTTGGCTCCTTTAAGAAGATACCTGCCTTTTTTCAGCTGTCCACCGGCAGCTTCTTGTTGTCAAACTTCCATCCATCCATTTTGTAGCACACTTATCCCGAGTGGGGTCGCAAGGGGTGCTGGTGCCTATCTCCAGCAGTCAATGGGCAAGAGGCAGGGTACACCCTGGACAGGTTGCCAGTCCATCGCAGGGAAACACAGAGACAAACAAACTTTCACACACACACATAAGGGGACTTTAGAGAAACCAATTAACCTAGAAGTCTGGACTGTAGGAGGAAGCCGGAGTACCCGGAGAGAACCCACACATGCTCAGGGAGAAAATGCAAACTCCATGCAGAAAGACCCCAGGCTGGGAATCGCACCCAGAACCTTCTTGCTGCAAGGCAAGGCAGCAGTGCTACCCACTGCACCACTGAGCAGCCCTGTTGTTCCTTGGTTTTATCATTTCCGTTCCTTATTGTTAGTCTTTTGGACCACAGGAATCATGGCTTTACCTAAAAAAAAAACAATAAAACTGTAAGCCCCTTAGAGTAGATCCCCATAAACTGATTTCTTACCTCAGTTTACCCTGAATCAGTACTGGACATGATAAAATACATTAGCAAATCTATAAATTTTAACAAATAGTTAATGTTATGTAAAATGTTGCATATTAATATTTTCTTTAAATTAAATTTGTCATAACTCTTGTATAAAAGTTGACCAGTACATGCTAAAAGGAAATACAGTAATTCATCATTAGGATTCTAAAAATGAGTTGATGCTGTTGGTTAATTTATACATTTCATCTGAGACTCAAACTGATTCCACATTTAAAGATTCAGAATTTATTTGATTCTAATAACTTATAAAGTGACAGGGATACGTATGGTCAGGGGTTTGTTTGTTAGACAGCAGAGATGAGGGCAGTGGTGCTTCCAGAAATGTTTCCTAGGGGTGGCCAGATGGGGCCACTGAAAATTTTGGGGTGGCACACTTAAACTAAAAACCACAATTTCAGGGTTTGAATCTACTATAGTAGTAAACCTGCCTATAGAAATCATAAAGACTTAAAAACCTACTCATATCTTGGTTTATTGCTAAACTGATGGTAATAGAATTTACCCTGGCGAGTGGGGTGGCCAGTGGGTGGCACCACCAGTGGGTGGTGGTGCCACTGGATGGTGGTGCCACTGGATGGAGGTCTACGACTCCAATTGTCCCTTATGTCAAACTTTTCCCTTATGCGGCTTGTGGTCCCTAAGCGCTGCATCCATGTTTTATTGTTTATCTGTCTTTGAGGGCTTAAATAGTGATTTTAATTTTCAGAAAAAATGACCTGCATAATGTCCTACAATAATTTAATAACCAATTCCTTGAAGCAGTGGATAAACTTGGCCTGTAGAAAAGTAAACACCAGGAGCGTGCATCAGACTGATGCCCACAGACCCAGTGATTTTACAGAAAGTGATTTCATCAAATGATGGATGATTTGCTCGGAGAAAGAAACAGCACATGCTATCTGAAAATAGCATGTGCTGCTTCTTTAACTCAATAGATGGCTGAAATCAAGGATTTCATTTTACCTGCAGCCATCTGGTGTTTCAAAATGGTAACTTTTCAGAGACAAAGCCTGTTTCTTGTGGAATTCCTCAGAGTAGAAGTTTCAGTCCCTTAATTTTAAAATCTAGATTATGTCACATATGTTGATGATTTTACAGTTAAGAATATATTATAAATTGGGAATGGCAGAAGGTACCTGAGTGGGTAACCATCAACAAAAGCATTTTAAATGTTACCAAAACGAAACTTGCTATAAAGTAGAATAGTTATTAACTGAACAAACATAAACTAGAACCAAAGTTGCACCAATAGAACAGTCAAAGCTGAATTAATAGCCGATCTACAGGACAATCAAAAAGTATGGGGGAAAACACATTGATAATCTGCAATTCAATAAATGCTAGATTTACTCAAGGAAACAGGTTAATCTTTTAAAAGGTTGGCCAGGCAAAATTTACCAGGAACAGCGGCGGGTAATATGGAGATACCTGCATTACAAATAACTAAGATTTTAAATTATCTTCAACAAAAACAACCATCGAACATTTGTTTTTCCTACAACCCAGCATATTGATAATTTATGTTTTGAAAATACAGGCTATCATATTTTAATTGCATTAATTTGTGAATCTTATGGATGCATTTTATCGTTTATTTATATATTTTATTTCTATATAGAATATATATGACTACATTTACAGGAAGAAGAGAATAATTAATTCATAATTAATTAATTAATAATTAATTACCTCGTTGTGGTTTGTCTTTGTTTATACGGGAAGTGTGGACCCCTGTAGAAGAGTGCCTACATGGGACTTCAGCTAATGGGGATCCAAAAGAAACAAAACAAAGCATCAATGCAGAGTTTGTGTCTTAAAGTTTATTTACCTTATCAGATATTCGCTGTGACAGATCTTTGCTCAAAAAATCCCGAACAGCCAGAGCAAATAGATTTGATTCCTTACATGGTGTTGATCAATGTAATGATCCTGAGCAGAAGCAGGATAAAGATGGAGATAAGCATTTGTTTGGGAAACATCCAAGCCACAAATCTGACAGAGATAAATGGATAGTTGTCAGGTTCCTTTGGAAAATGATTAGAGAGCCGCTCAGGCGCAGATCTCAGCTCTCCCTCCCAGTCTCTCCCATCATTATCCCAGCACAAATCCACTCAGTAACAGAGGTTCTCTTGTTTGTGAAGGCACGGAGCCGGCTTTGAGAGCTCTCATAAATAAGTCTGGTCCTCCACACACATAGAACATTGTTTGAAGGAAGATGAATCTTAGGGGAAAGAATTGTTGTTGTCTGTTTTTAAGCATCTCCACCAAAGACTTTCTATGAAAAACTTTGTGAGTGGAGGTTTATTTTCTCTGCTGCATTATTCATCCTTCAACTGTCTGAATGAACTTGTTCTGAGTCTAAATGACGATGTCCTGCCAGGACCTAACATCTCCTCAAAGTCAGGACACAGTTGGATGCTTGCTGTGATGGAGATTGATGGAGGAGCCCCTCATCAGGCGGTGATGCAGGGACGTCTGATCCCAGTGAACCAACATGTTTTTACTGGAAAGGATGTTGATGCATTAGGCATCTTCTTTCACGGCCTATGGTCTCTGCTTTCTGTTCAAGTCACATTATGAAACAATAAGATTCCTTCAGAGCTTTAGGGCATTTTGTGTCTTATGCATTTATAATATAATCAATGCTCACCCCAGTAGGGGTGGAAAATATGTTATCAAATCAAAAAGTATTTGTCTTATACCCCTTTTCTACTGACCAAAAACCATGTTTAAACCTGGCAATGAGAACGACTCACTAACCCGGGTCAAACTGCAAGCAACCCGGGTTAAAATCCCCTTCAAACAGCTCCGCTCTGATTGGTATACAGTTGGAGCAGCAGACCCGTCTCGGCCCACTAAATTACACAACGTATGTACGTCACAACATTGTTTCAGTCACATCTCATATAACAAGCCAAAGCAACTCCGCTTGCATTCGATAAACATGGCGCACCATTGGTAAGAGGGATTCGGACGGACAAAAGAGACAAACCATGTTGCTCTACATTGTTTACTTTTCTGATTTCTGTTGCACTGACGACATCATCAATGCTAACCCAGCGTGATGCCATCACCAGATGCTCAGCGGTGGGGGACAGTGGCCATGCAGCTTGCCAGCGGGGGGTCAGACTCAGCAGACCTCAGCTTTTTGCCAATGGGAAGGGAGCCAAATGCCAATTGTTAGCGGGTCAGCCCGGGTGTGAAAAACTCACATTAACTCACTAATTTAAGTTGGAAAGCAGCAGTATATTGCTCTGTGAACACATGCCCTTCTAGCTGTGTTAGATCAACAAATGAAAGTGTGAATCAAGCTCAAATCATGGTATTACATTCTGTGGGACTTCTACATACTCTCTATATCTCAAACCCTTTTGAACCCTACCAGAACACAGGGTCTTAATCATGCTTTCTTTGGGTTGAGTTTGCCAAGATGACAAGATAATTAGACCAAAAACGCAGTACCTAATTCATCTAGTCATCGCTAATCACTCTTGGCTTAATGTCTCAGATGAATAACAAGCAGCTCACTGACTGTAAAGGCTTTGCTTGTCCTTCAGAGAGTGGGACTGTAGAGGAATGTGGGCAGAAGCTGAAGACCATCCTTCAGTCTCCAAGTGTCCCTCCGGCCAGCCACCATCTCCTGATCCACCTCAGCCAGCATCTAAACTGGGTCAGCCAGCAACACAGGACAAGCCCCCGTCTGCTGGGACAGGCCTTCGCCAACATCATCTTCAAGCACAATCTGAGGTACGATAAAGATTATTAGAAAGATTATATAGAAAAAATTATTATAAATATTCTTTTCCTTATGGGTTTATTATGAAGATGAGGAATATCTTAGATGGATGGAACCAGTTTCCCATCCGTTTATCCAAGATAAGGTTTTGTGAGAACTGCTCCTCATTAGCTACGTTATCATCAGAAAGAAACTCTGAGGGATCAGAGTATTTGTTTGGACCATTTTAACCATTGTTGGATCGGACATTCTAGAAGAGCTGGCCTGCTTTACCTGCTCTAAAACCAGTTTAGGAATGTCCGAGATCACGGTCTAGCAGTTTTGTTAAAGTTTATAAGATTGCCTTTAACTGATATTAGGCACATGCACAATTAAAATCAATTTAGTTAAGTTATATTTTATTTTTCTCATTTGGAACAATTTCTATTTGACTAACAGTTAAGAATAACTGTTATAAAAAAAAATGTAATGGATTTTCTTTGTCTTTTTATCTTTGATGGATAACTTCTCATCTTTAGGACAGTGATGTTTGTTGGGATAGTCAGTTTTCCATCTACAACATTAATAATCTATTTCACAAACGGAGCTGTGTCAAAATAGAAGCATAGATACAAGCAGAGTTGAGGTTAAACAAGAAGCGCTAAGGAACTCCACTGTGGTCACAGTTAGAGAAGAATGATGTCAAACTGAGGTTTTAAGGAGGTCTATAATGAGTTCTGTAATAATGAATAATGTGGAATTTTCTTTTAAACCCAATAATAAGCACGATGGCAGGATAATTGGACCAAAATGGGAGCTTTGAGGAATCCCTGAATTTAACAAGCCTTAGATAAAATTAGCTTATTAGGGAGCCTTGAAAAAATAAACTTCTCAGCTTGGTTTATATGTTATGAATTATGAACCCTAATGTGAAGTTTTATTGCCTTGTTAGGTATGTTCTGTGGTTCCGTTTTAGCCTTACAAAAACAATCCCTGCAGTTTAGTTGATCATTATCAGATTGTTATTGCTATGTTCACTAAATATTCCAACTGAAGGTAAAGGTATTGGTATCCAAAAGCTTCTCATCTCATTTCTGATGTTTTGCTTCCAGTGCTATTGGAAATCTGGAGCATCACATCAGGATCTTAGAAGCTCTCATTGGGTCTGGAGGTGTTGAGAAGCAGTCTGCTCCAGGTAGGACAGAAAATCCTTTCTCTTCCTTTAGAGCTGCAGCAAAAAAAAAAAAAAAAAAAAAAAAAAACCTGCTTCCTGAGATTTTGACTAAACACAAA